AAAACCTCTTCCAGTTGCACCACTTGCAATTAGTAGCCTCATTAAAGACGAATAACGTGTAATGTGTTCACTTTCTATTTATTTTTTTTAGTCTTATTTTTATTTTTTTTTAATACTTTGCATAAATTTTTAATGCATTTATCACATTTTGCTTGATTTAAATAATTATTTGATTGATTGTTGAGCGCTGACTTGGTCAATCGCTGTTGTCGTTGGCTTTGCGCTGTTCGTAATAATACCTATAAATAAATACCAATACCTTAACAGCTGCTAGCCGATTGTAAGCTTAACTGTTTCAGTTCGGATTTCCAATATACTCTATGAACTAGATTCGAACCTTAAACCAAGTCAAAAATAATAGCGAAACTTAAATATGAATCAAAGCATCGCCAATTTTGCTATCAGCCCTGCAGACCTGTTAAATGCATCTACATATCTATCAGTTATGTGTATCTGTATATCCATCTATCTCTCTATCTATATATATATATATATTTATATATCTATCTATTATAAGTCTCGCTCTATCCATCTGCCTGTCCCTCTATCTATTTATTTATCTATCTACATACATGTATATAATATAATGTATTTATTTTTCCAATCCGTCTTGTCTATGCTGTCCTATTGTATCCATATATACATATACCCACTGATCCATATATGTGTAGGTATTTCTATATCTATATCTATGTTTATGATTGGCACTAAATCGCAACGGTATTTCGGCAAAAATAGCCTCCAACTTCAGAGTCCAAGTTATCTCTCACTGCCCAAATCTAATCATTGAATCGAACAGAAAAAAGAAAACGAATCAAAAAAACAAGCACAAAAAATGGAAAAAGAAACGAAAAGCCGCAGCTAAACATGTTTGAATTTTGGCCTTAGCAAGACATCGGGCTACCCTGTATTCAAATGGTTTCTTAATAATAAATGGTTTTGCTGCCAACAGGCAAAATCTATTAAAGTGTATGGAAATGTGTATGGCCCAGCTGGTCGGGCCGTTGTTTGGAGGGTATCACAAATTGTGCTTCATTATTTACAAAGATTTTGAGCAGCGTGCGAAATCCCCAAACCGAATTGCCGTATCCAGTTGCCAGTTGCCGGTTGCCGGCTGCCGGCTGCCAGTTTTCAGTTGTCCCCACCCGCTGACCCTACCGCATGACATCATCAGCGTTAAAAGAGGCAACGATCCGCGGTGGCCAGTGGATGCTTCAGTTGGTTTTTGGTTTTTGGTTTTCGGTTGAGTTTCTGAGGTTTCGGGCTGATTGCGTTGGCTTCTACACTTTGCTTGGCTTCTCATTGTTGTTGTTGTTGTTGTTGTGGCTGCTCGATTAGGGGCCGGTCGGTCATTTGCTTTATGCGGGTCAACAAAATGCGAGATGGAACGGACCATTGGACGATTGAACGATTGAACGATTGGATCATTGGAGTAGTTGGTCAAACCTAAGCCAAAAGTGCTAATGGCACAAAATGTGTGCGTCAGAAATCAATTCGATGCTTGTTTGGTTTTCGCTTTTATTTCGAGCTGTTGCCGTATTTTCATTCGATTTCCCCTACGGCGATTCGGCTTAAATGTTTGGCTTTCTGTTCTGTTTTTTTTTTGTTTTAAATATTTTTACATGCGGCGTAAAAGCCACGCCCAAAAATTATGTGCACACACAAACATGCCGTAATGCCATAAATCACCCAAACTACCGAATGCAAATTGATTTGTTGCTTTCCGTGAATCAAATGAAATGAATTGCAACGGCTGCTTGTGCCACAAGGGGGGCCTGGCCAGGCTGCAGGAGCGGACTTGGTAGAGCTTGCAAAGAGAAGATCAAATATAATCTTCAGATTAGTTCTGGCAACTCAGCTTGAATTGCTTTCCCTACTAATTGGGCATGTTTTGCTTTAGTTACATTCAGATTTGTTTGTTTGTTTTTTAACCTGGCAATTGGCAATCCGCTCCTGGTCAATATCAATACCAATACCCACGTTCCCAACGTCAACAGCAATAATAACACCAGCAACTGCGACACCCGGTCGCAATTGCCATGCAAAATTCAGCAGGCACAGCATGACGAATGGCAGACCCCCGCACTCCCTTAACCCCTCGCTCCGTCTTGCCACTCCCCTGGCTCTTGACTGCATATAAATAAATTTTAATTTGCCAATTGTGTGTAAAACTTATTAGCGATAAGTTTGTTGCAGCCACAAGCTGTCACATATCCACAGCAAAAGCTACAAATACAGCTACAGATACGGTTGTATCTACATATGGGCACAGAGCTTTCTGCTTGTTTATTTTGCAAAATGTCTGGTTTGTTTCGTTATGTGAGGAAATAAGATACGTGGTATCCGTGCCTGCTCGCCGCTCGTAAGCCGGCATTTGATTATTAGTCATAAAGCTGCAATGGATTGGGGTTAAGTTTATTAATGATATCTGTAAACGCTGCTAGGTTCGCCCAGTTGACAGGTTAAAGCCGACAGCAAGGAAGTCGACATATTTGTCGCCCAAGTGCGGATAAAGTTATCAATAATAATGTATTATTGCTTCTACAACTATAACGAGCTAAATAGGGAGAGTTATATGTAAATGTTGTGGTATACAAAAATACATTATGTCATTTATTCCAGTGTTCCGTTGCTCTATTGATTCACATTCCACTGTTCAATATTCGTTAGCTACTGACTTATATGTATTTAAGGGGAGTGTCTTGAAGAGTTGATTTTACATGTTTTGGTATAAAACATAACATTCCTCCACATATTCCTGTGTTACATTATTCCATTGGTGAATATTCCACTGTTCCATATTCCGTAGCTCCAAGCCTTAAATGGAGAATGTTAAAGAAAGAGTGCAGTTTGTAAATGTTTTCGTATGAATAATAATATTCTTTCACATGTCCCCATGTTCCATTTGTGTACTATTCAGTATTCCACTGTTTCATAGCTTAGCTCCTGGGCTAAATATACTTAAAGGGAGTAGCTCAAAGAGTATTGTTGATTAGTGTTCTGATATATACTTTGACATTCTTCCACATATTCCACTGCTCCATTTAGCCGCTGGCTAATTTTCCGAGTCCATTTTCCACTGTTCCATATTTCTGAAGCTCTTGGCTAATGCTCTAAACAGTTGTTGAGCTGGCTATTAGCATCCACATACATATTACAGACCTATGCATATGTTTGGGGCGAGACCATTAAACCTCAATTCTAATGCCAGTAATTAGCCAGCACACACATTTACACTCGCACACACACACACACACAGACAGACACAGGTGTGTACGCGTACTCGTAGCTGGTTGGAATCTCAGGATTCACTCAGGTGGCGTTTATGTTTGCACACTTTCCGTTTTGCGGCGCGTTTATTCAGTGCCAGTGTTTGGGGCACTTGGCGCAGCTCTTTTTGGCTTTTCACATTTATTTAATATTTTAATTAAATTATTTCATGTGCATGTGCATACGTTGCCGTGCCGCCTAATGGGGCAACTTCACATGGCGGCGGCATAACATTTACATGCAAATGCTGCCGTATTATGGGCCAACTCAAGGCCCCCCTCTCAGGGAGGGAGGGCTCCCTCTTTCCCTACCTGTCTCTGGTTCTCTATACATGCTGTGGACTTGAGGATCGAGCTGGTGCTATTACCACCCGCACTTAACGTTAATTAAACTGCTGTGTGTGCTAAAATGTGTCTCTGTTTCTCTCTATCTGTGTGTGTGTGTGTATGTGTCTGTGTGTGTTGGTTTGTGTGTGGCATATCCTGCAAGTGGCCGTAGACTCGTTGCCGTGTCCTTGTCCTTTGTAGCTGGCAGCTGCTGTCGTTTTAATAGCTTAATGTAGTTACTTCCACTTTGAGTGTCTTCCTTCCATGCTGCACTGAGCTGGGCATGGGTAACCATGGGGCTGGGCTGGCCTGGCCTCGGCTAGGTTGGTGGGCGTCTTTGCTAATAAAAAACACAACACTCAGCAAAATTGTTATGCAGCAAACTAAATCAACAGACACACTCCAACACTGGCACACACACATACGCTGTGCAAATTACAACGCAGCCATGACGACTATAACCAGGAAAAAAGCCATGTAAGCCACACTTACATACAACTGGGCCCCCGGATCCATGTGCACTCAATGCGTGCACTTTTTGCACACACTGTGTGTGTATGTGTGTGCACATAGTGGCATTCAGTGTGTGCACACGCTGAAGAAAAAAGGCGATATCTAACAAAGTTTAGCTCGTTTTATGTTTTATGCCCATGCTCAGCTAAAGGCTGTGGGGTATATTGGCTTGTACTTGAAAAGCATTTAAGCCATATATATATTAATTAAATTTTATTAATCTATTATATACGAAATGGAATACCGATATCTTTGTCAGTATGATATTATCTATAAATATCGATTGTTAGACATAATGCCTTAAGCATAATAATATTAGATAGTAGATTTGAATTGGAAAATTAAAAAAAAGGTTTATCCATAATCTGCCTATTTATTACAATAAAAAGGTAGAGTATTTGCTAGTGTACTATTCAAGTCCTGTTCTGTTGCTGCTGCCTAACATCAGCCGAAAGTATGTTGGCAGTTTGGCACTGGAGAAGCTTCTTCTTTTTTTATTTCGCATGCGAGAATGCGCTGGCAGCTGCAGCTGCCGCAGAGATCAAAACTGGCCAAATAGGAATAGGACTAGAGATAGAGAGTGTGCGAGAGCGAGAGAGAGAGAGAGCCAGGACTTGGGACAGGAATTGTGTGGCATGGCAGTCGGGATTAGCATGTTGTATGCATGCCTGAATAATGTCTTTATTAGTGTGTGGCACGTGGGAGCTGCCTGTGTTTCGGACTGTGTTTCTTACATATTTTGCGCTTTTGTTTTCAGCTATTTTGTTGATCTTTTTTTGCTTTTTGTATTTATATTAATTAGTCGGCTACGTGATATCAAGTATACGCCATTTGTTTCCGTTGTTGCATTGCATCTACTTATAACTGACTTTTGTCTTGCTCCATTTACAGCTCCCCCCGCATCCCCTCAGCAAATTCCGGCTTAGTGCAATAGGAAAATGGCCCAACCACAATTGCTGCAAATCAAATTGTCACGTTTCGATGCCCAGCCCTGGGGATTTCGCCTGCAGGGCGGTGTGGACTTTGCCCAGCCGCTGTTAGTGCAAAAGGTAAGTGCCACGCCCACACTGGGCTCGACAAGTGGGCAGATTCAATTATCAGTGCTCAGATTTGCTTTTAATTTTAACTGTGTTGCCAATCGGAATATTTTCGTGGGTCGAAATTGACCAGCGAAAAAAACAAAAGAGATATTGGGGGAAAAAACTATATATATTAGCTTGGCAGTTAATTTATTTATGCATTTAAATGCGGATTTCTTTTTTGTTGTTATTTGTTTTTTGTTATAAATAAATTTGTAGCGATTTGTTTTTTTTTTTTCGCGCGCGGGATTTTGCGCACGGTACGCGAAAACTTTTACCCACCATTTTCCAACAACATTTCCTTTGCTGCCATTTTGGATATTTTATGTGCACACACACACACACACACCCACACATACATATATATATATATATATATATATATATACAGATAGCGCGCGTGTATATGTCTTCTTGTGTACAAATTGTTCAACATTTATAAATTATTTCTAATAATTTTACATTTCTGGTGACACGCACTCAAATTCAACCAAATCATTTGGAATATGTATTTTTTAGTAGTTTAATGCTTCCAACGCGTATGTATGTGAGTGTGTGTGTGTGTGTGTATAAGTGTGTACACACTTGTATAGGATTAATAACTTTATCTATATTTATATATGCTACATATTGACATATGTATACACCCATAAGCTTTATGGCTTTATGGGGGGCTGTTAATGTTGTTTGCCTTGCAAAAAATGTATGCGAGATATGATTTTTTATTTGGAAAACTGTGAAATAGAGATATGAATATGAGTTATGTGCCAGAGAGATTATGTTTATGGCCTTTGCAACTAGGCCAGGCCACAGATGGAGCATTAAATTTGAATACCTTGTACAGCTTTAATTCAATTAATTTGCCAAACATTTGTGGCTGACAGTTATTTAACTTAAAGCAGTGCCAGTTTGATGAATTTTAAAAATAGTAGCAGGGAGAGATAGAGAGAGAGGGAAAGCTTTAAGTGGCATCACTTGTTGGCAGCCAATTCAATTTAGTTGGTTCAAAGCTCGGGAAAAGCTGCATTTCAGCTACTCGAAACTAATAAAGTATTTCAGTTTTTTGGAATTTGATTAGAGCCAATCTCACGCTCTTTTGACTTTGAAGTGAGTGCATTTGATGCCATGTTGTCAATCGAATGACTCGCATTCGGCACTCAGGCATGTCTGTCGAGTGGACACATGAATCATTGCCTCGCACTGACCCCTCGAACTGTGACAAACTGTTGCCGGTTACGCTGTGAATATGGTTTCGAGTGTATTCAGGGCTGGTTGTGAATCAGCGCAGCACAGATAAGAGTTCGACTCATGCACATATTTATAGATAGGCGTGTGTCAAGCGACTGTCAGCTCAATGTCAACATTTTTTATATTGATGGCATATTGTACAAATTGTTCTTCATAAATTGGATGGCTTTAATTAATGTTTAATGTTTCGATGCGACTAGAAAAATGTCTGAATTTAAGAATTTATTCTAGTTCAATATTATTGTTTATCTAGCAGCCGCAACAATAACAACAACAAGCTTTGGTAATTGTTTGAGCGTAACAGCATTTGCGAATGCGTGTAAATATTTTATTATGCCACACGGAATTTATTTCGTTGACATTTTCAAACGGCACCAAAAGCACCAAAAACAACAAATTTCTGTTTACTTTGGCATTACAAATTAGTTCAGCTGCTAATGGGCCGAAGAGTGGTCGTGGGTGTGCCAAAGGCGGCCGCTGGGGGCGTGGCAATACTATAGAAAAGCGCAATATCTATTTAAACAGCCGTTTCGTTGGGCTGATTTATGTCAATGCTATGCGACCGTCTCTCGGTCTATTTAAAACGCGATTCCAATTTCAAAAATGCTCAAGTGCGATATTTTTGCCAGTTTTTTGTAAAATATATAAATATATATTTTGAATGCCCGCCGATTTGTTGGACCGTGTCTGCTGCGTACTGTTTGCATATATATTAATTGCTCTTTAAATCAATTAATTGGTTGCAATGCATAAAATGTTGTCCCTGCGTCAATTAGTGCATAAAAATAATGACAATCCATGTTGACGTCAATTAGGAGCGCCATCAAACTGGCCAACAAACAATGTTTTCCGGCTAGCCAACACACATTACAACAACAACAACAACAACAACTACAACTACAACAACAAGGCGACCACAGAGTAAAAGCCATTAGCAGTTAGTAGCTTTTATTTGGCCAATTTAGCGGGCAGAGTGCAATGCGAAAAAAAATATCCAAAACTTAAACGTGAATTGTATTTATGTGATGGACCACGGGATATGCTAGAGTTGATTGCAGAAAAGTATAGGTTGGAGTAAGCATAACCACAGTAGGTGAAGCTATTTATAATGTTAGATGGATAGTTTAATTATTGTTAAAAATGTACTTAATTGTGCTAAAAAGGCTAGACAATAACAACGTAAGGGTTCATATAACTTGCAAGATAATAAAACGAAAAGTAGAAAGAAGAAAATATCAATAGAACTCAAATCAGGTATTAATATTTAATATAAGAACTATTAAAGTATTTATGTGCGACTCAGATTGTAGTTAAAAACCCAACTGTCGCCTAGTCGCATACAACCTCTGCGTTGTCTTTAGCCCAGGGTGTTCGCTTGCAAATTTGTTGTTATTTATGCCAAAATCACGCAACATAAATTCCACAACAACGCGAAATGTTTGTGTGCTGATATTAAACAAAAAAATAAAAAAGAAAAAAAGAAGAGAAACGAGTATTAATAATTTAACTAGGAAAACAAACTGCTTTTGATGCAGAGATTTGAGTGCAGTCCCCAAACTCCAAGCAGCGGTTCTGCCAGATTTCTCTAGAACCCCCTTCCTCTAATTTTTATTGAAAAGCTCTTTGCTTTATTTGTTTGTCTGCAAAAAAGGTGTCTGAGCCCGGGCTGAGCTGCCTGTTTGCTGTCTCTGGACCTCTCTAAGTCTCTGCCGAGTCGGGAATCTTGACTGCAGCCGTCAGCTGTATGGCTTGGCGCCTTTTGAACACTTCAAGCTCAATTGAACTTAGAATGGGCCCTACTTGAGGCAGCTGCAGCAACAGCAGCTGTTGCAAGTGCGTTAAAACTTTGCTGCCACGTCAAGGTGTGCCTGACGTGGCACGTAATGAGCCCGCGTTGCCAGGATACGCACGCTGATGAGTCTGGTGTGGATGTGGATGCGGCTGATGATTCCGCATCGAGTCGCAGCTGAGCAGAAAGTGAGCATTACCACTCGGGACCCAACATAATGTCAGCTAGACAACAAAATCTGAGCACCGTCAACTGGTGTGTGCGCGTATTTATATGTGTGTGCGTGGGGAGGACTCTTAAAAAAGGGCCAACAAAGTGACGGGCTGCTCATTAAGTAAAATCAACTGAAACTGACCGCTGATGGAGGAGCATAAAAATAAGCTACTCAGCTGCTTAAATCGGATTAATTTATGCTTTCGCGCTCTAGGTGTGTGTGTGTGTGTATGTTTAAGTGTGTAGCACGTCGAACGCCAAATGAAGTCCTTGTTGTTGCGGCTACTGAAGGACCTGCCAGGTTGCTTTTTTTTGTCGTATGCGTTTTTCGTTTTCTTTAGTTTTCATTGTTTTCTGGTTAAGCTTTATGCTGCCGGCTTTTCGCAACACACACACACACACCGACAAACACAGGCCACAGGCAGACTCTCTCACATATTGCCACGTTTATATTTCATTATCAAGTGCAGGGTCGGTTGGTCAGAAGAAAAAAAGAGAACGTCACACAAAAGGCCAAAGCCAACGGGCCAAAATAAAAGCGAAAGCCAAACCAAACCAAACCAGACCAGACCAAGCCTGGCCAAGGGTCCAGAGTCCACAGTCAAGAGCAGCTCAACGCGCTTTGGTTGACTTCATCTGTACAAATAATGGAGCCAAATAAGTAATACAAAGAGCGTAAATTCGGTTTAGTACAAATTTCCTGGCCAACGACTGCCCGCCAAAAAAAATATATGCAAAAAAAAAAAGCAAATGAAATAAAATTGGTAAAACCAAATTTCAACGAGCTTCAACTGAAAGGATGCAGCCTCGGCTATTAGCCAACTTAAAGTCTAGACATGCCCTGCTCTTGCCTGGCCTGGTCTGGCCTGGCCTGGCCTGGCCTGGCTACTAACAAGCTAGCGTCGGCATCCAAGGCAACCGACGAGCAGTTCCTATTCCTCCTTTACTCTACGCTGCGCCCTCCTGCCACATGTGCCATCGTGTCTCCCATTCCGAATTTATATTCATTCAACTCTGCGTTTGCTGCATGCAAATCTGTTTTGCGTGTTTTTGTTTGTTTTTCGCACAAGTCGCCGTGTTTGCCCCTTGCCCCGACGCCCCGGCCAGAGCCATTAATTATTTGACTCCTGTCTGGCTGCATTTTCGTCTGCTTCGGTGTTTGTCTTTGTCTCCAACTATGAAAATTCATAATTTTCAACCACGCTTTGTATGCCCTGCGTCAAGCGAACAAATAAAAGGAAGCTCAACAACTAAACAAAGTTTGATGCATGCCCTGACTTTAGTCTGATAACATAAAAATGTTAACAAGAACTATTTAAAGTGAGACAAAAATATTAAAGAGAATGTTGACTGCGCTTGCAGCACCTCAATAGGGGTTTTTTTCCCCCACGTAAACAATTGAAAGGTGATTAAATTGGTAAAGTTAAAGTTTGTAGTGAGCAATTTTCTGCAGGGTATTTAAGAGTCGTATGCTTTTGTTTTTAAACTTAGCTTGAGTTTGTTTTTCTGTTCACACCACGTCTATGTGACTGTGATTTATGAATAATTCTCCCCGCTTCGACTGCTTGAAATAATAAACAAAAAAACAGGGTATAATAATTATGCAATCCACCCAAAACAAAATTTTGGCTTTATGTAATTGAATCTGCGTTCAAAGCGCGGCGGTTGCTCTGGCAACAATACTGAATAAAATAGAGTTGATTTTGATTGAACTTGTGCA